ACACCCCCACTGGGGCCTTCGGTGGAGCTCCCTATGGGGCTACGAAACGCTGCCCTGGGTGGGGGAACCGCATGTGGACACCCCCTCTGGGGCCTTCGGTGGAGCTCCCTATGGGGCTACGAAACGCTGCCCTGGGTGGGGGGACCGCATGCGGACACCCCCACTGGGGCCTTCGGTGGAGCTCCCTATGGGGCTACGAAACGCTGCCCTGGGTGGGGGAACCGCATGTGGACACCCCCACTGGGGCCTTCGGTGGAGCTCCCTATGGGGCTACGAAACGCTGCCGTGGGTGGGGGAACCGCATGTGGACACCCCCACTGGGGCCTTCGGTGGAGCTCCCTATGGGGCCACGAAACGCTGCCCTGGGTGGGGGAAACGCATGCGAGAGCAACCACTGGGGCCTTCGGTGGAGCTCCCTATGGGGCCACGAAGATAAAAAAGGAAGAAAAAAAGAAAAACAAAACGGAAAACTGCTGCCTCGGTGGGGGGATAAGCCGGCATGTGGAACACCCCCACTGGGCCTCGGTGGAGTTCCCTATGGGCTTACGAAACGCTGCCCTGTGTGGGGGACCCGCATGTGGACCCCACCCCCAACTGGGGCCTTCGGTGGAGCTCCCTCTGGGGCTAACGAACGGAAACGCTGCCCTGGGTGGGGGAACCGCATGTGGACACCCCCTCTGGGGCCTTCGGTGGAGCTCCCTCTGGGGCTACGAAACGCTGCCCTGGGTGGGGGAACCGCTGGAGGGAGGAGGGCGAGGAGGAGGAGAAACGCGGGGCACCGTCTCTTCAAAACGAGGACCCAACACCACAGGATGGTTGGGAACTAGCCGTGCTACTAAGAGCAGAAATAATACCAGCACTCGCAACTGGATTGCAATTAAAATGCTATTGATGTTACTGTCAATCCAGCCAGTTAATCTTACGACGAATGCCAATGCTCGTATTTTCTCAGTGTTCTTAGGAGAAGTGCCGGACATCTTGATACTACTTATATGAACCATGGTATTCGTCATGGTCCTAATTCGTGTTTTTTTTGTTGTTGCTTTTTTTTCTTCCGTATTATTCTGGTCAGTAATGGTCTTACTAATCACATCAGTGGTAATAGTATTTAGAGTACTAGTAGAGCGACTTGTTCGATGCATAAGCATTCACATAATATTACTAGCACTGTCATTACTAGTACGGTGCTCAATATTGGTGGTACTACGACACCATAAAAAGTCTTTGCACACAAAACATGTTATACTTAGTATGTATGCTCCTAGTCATACTGTTCGTGCTAATGATTAAAATATGGATACTCCCATCACTATGGTTAGTATTCTTATGTAGAAATCACAACAACAATGATATTGTTAGTACCTGTTACTGATGGATGGCATTGACATGCCTCAGGATATTCATGCGAATTTCAGTACGTGAAATACTAGCACTAGCAATACTAGTGAACGGGGAAATGAAGAGGAGGAGGAGGAGGCGGAGGAGGAGCAGGAATAAGAGGAGGAGGAGGAGGCGAAGGAGGAGGAGAACGAGGAGGAAAAGGCGGACGGGGAGGATGCGCAGGAGGAGGAGGAGGATGAAGAGGAGGAGGGTAAAGAGGGGGAGGAGGAGAAGGATGAGGAGGAGGATGCGACCAAGGTGGGGGAAGATGATGATGATGATGATGATGATGATGATGATGATGATGATGATGATGATGATGATGATGATGATGATGATGATGATGATGATGCTGATGATGATGATGATGATGCTGATGCTGATGATTATTATGGCTGATGACTTGCTGCCTGATGAGATGTATGATGGCGATGATGATGCTTGTGATGATGCGGTGGTTTGCTGCTTATGATGTTTTATTTCATATGATTGATGGTGATATGAATGGTTAGCTGCTGCTGATGAGATTTCGGTGATGATGATGCGCTGATTCTGATGCTGCTGCGGAATGATGAGCTGATTCTGATGATGTTTCATGATGATGATGATGATGATGATGATGATGATGATGATGATGATGATGATGATGATGATGATGCTGATGCTGATGATGATGATGATGATGATGAGTGATGATGAGTGATGATGATGATGATGATGATGATGATGATGATGATGATGATGATGATGATGTTGATGATGCTGATGATGACGAGATGATGATGATGATGATGATGATGATGATGATGATGAGGATGATGATGATGATGACAATGATGATGAGGATGGTGATGATGATGATGATGATGATGATGATGATGATGATGATGATGATGCTGATGATGATGATGATGATGCTGATGCTGATGATGATGATGCTGATGATGCTGCTGATGATGATGATGATGGCGATGATGATGCTTGTGATGATGCGGTGGTTGCTGATTATGATGTTTATTCATATGATGATGATGGTGATGATGATGGTGATGCTGCTGATGATGAAGATTACGGTGATGATGATGGCGATGCTTCTGATGCTGCTGCGGATGATGATGCTGATTTCGTTGCATGATGTTTTTTTTTTTTTTCATGGATGACGAAGACATGATGATGATGGATTGCTGGTGATGACGATTATGCTGCTTCTGATTCTGATGCTGATGCTGATGATGGTGATGATGATGAATGATGCTGATTGAAACGTTGCTCTCAATCCGATATTATGATGATGATGATGATGATGATGATGATGATGAGGATGATGACGATGGATGATGATGATGATGACGATGATGATGATGATGATGATGATGATGATGATGATGATGATGATTGATGATGATGATGATGCTGATGAGATGCTGCTGATGATGATGATGATGATGTATGGTGGATGATGTGAGGATGATGATGAATGATATGATGAATGATGTTGATGATGATGATGATGATGATGATGGATGGATGATGATGATGATATGATGAGGAGGAGGAGGAGGAGGAGGCGGGGAGGAGGAAGGAGGAGGAGGAGGGGAGGAGGTGGAGGAGGAGGAGGAGGAGGAAGAGAAGGAGGAGGTCGAACAGAAATGCCAGAGAGGTCTTTGATGTCTCTCCCCTTCGGATGTCACTTCGGAGATTGTTGGCGTTTTCGTGCAGCGTCATCGGGGCCGTTCGGCCATCGTGGGGGCCTCTTGGAATGTCTTGGTTGCCTCGGGGGAGCGTCTTGAGGCTTCAGGGGGATCTCTTGGGAACCTCTTGGGGATCTCTTGGGCGCCACTCGGGGCCATCTTAGGGCAGTTTTGAAGGTTTGGGGCCATCATGGGCCATGTTGTAGGAGATCGATCAAATTAGGTTGCCTCCTCCAGGGGGCCGACATTGGCCCCGAGCCGATGGCGCATACTTGATTTCTGCCTTCTCGCCAGCGTCAATAATACCCTCTGACACCTCTTGCGGTGCCTCCTCGGTCCCCATTTCGCGTGAAGGAGGCAGAGCGATGACGAGGTCTGGGGGAAGACGGGGAGGTATGAACTGTAGTAGGAGGCGGAATGTCAGGAGAAGGACCAGGGACGACCGGGGGAGAGAAAGGAGGTTGAAGGGAGTGCAGAACACACCTCGGATAGTGTAGATATACGAGAGCGAACCCGACGGCTTCGGATGGGTTTTAGTAACAAGGAGGTGGCGAGTGGAGAGACCAGGCGACGGGGTACTTCGAGTACGGAACGTGAGCTGTGAATGAGAGGACCAACGAGTAGCAGGAATGAGGAACGAAGTATGAAATGCAGGGATGAGGGATGATAGGGAGAGCGTGCAGAATACAGTTTGTCGTGGGTGGTCCTAGGATACAGTTCCCACATTGAACCCAATGACTTCTGATAGGGTATCCCCCAGGCGAGGGCTACTGAATGAAGACGTCGCACTTCGGGTCTCGTAGGTGAGACATATCCGGCTGTTTTCCGATGCGAGAACTCTTGCTTCGAAGTGCGATAACCGCTTGCGTGCCCGCCCCTGCTGTTTAGCTTGTGCCACGCTGCATCTTCACGAGCCGCTTTCGGAGGCAATGTCAACGGATCCTGGTGCCCTCATTCTGTGGCATCGTCGCAGGGATCTTTATTTCCCGTGCCTCCTACCCAGCAAATAAATGAGCGAATACGGCAATCAAGTGCGGAGGAGCAGGAGCAAGCAGATGAGGAGGAGGAGGAATTAGAAGGAATGATGAGGCAGGCTGGAGGTGAAAACGAGTCCTCCTCATTCCCTTTGCCCTCCCTCTTCACGGCTCTGTCCTCTTCCTCCCCATTGCCTGTATCCTTGCGGAAGACAGCAAGCTCAATCTTGTTACTCGCCTTCATTTTTTGTACAGAGTCCCGATCTTAGTTCATTGGGCTCCCTTTGTGAACTTTTCTTCACAGCCCTCTCCCCCCCGCCCACTTCTTTTGACAATGCCATACTTCCGTGAAGTGCCCCCAGGCCAGACCTCTGCATTCGCTCTTTTTTCTTGAACTGAAGCCCTAGCCTACATCATGGGGGTCGCTTTGGTCGGTCTGTCCTAGGCGATCTGTACGTCTATGGTAAGAGTCCTGTACGAAATAAACGACAGTCGTAACATCCAGTGGCACGAACCACAGTAAGTACATGGCACGTAAGATGCTTGGTAATAATATGTCTGGAGGAGTGCACGTAACATGTAACATATACGGCGAACGATGCAAACCCCTTGTGGACCTTCAATCGAGGCCTCCACCCTCGAATCATGTTGTGTTTCTGAGCTCCCACGGTCTTCATCCGTGACTCGTCTCTGTCCTTCACAACCGACAACAGTTCCAACACTACTGAGTGATAGCGCCCAAGCAGCAAGCAAGCATGCGTGCGTTTCGCTCCTGAGTGCGGCAGGGTGAAATGGAGGCGTGTGGCAGAAGAGCCGAAGATGCGGCGCAGAGGGAGCCTGCCAATGGCGTAGCGTGGAATTGGTTGTTTCTTCTGCTTTGGTACTGCGGACTGGTTGTGGCGGTTGCGCCCATGTGCACTCGTGGCCATCGTCTCCGCGCGCGTCGCCGTTCGATCCAGCCAGCACCGAGCTGACCGCTGTTGGGCGGCATGGTGCGACTGGGGGAAGATGCCCCCGCGCTCGCACCAGAACCCCCTCATTCGCAGCAGCTGGTGGGAGGGAGCTTCTGGTCTACTAACATTGTCGTTCGCGCGGGTCAGCAGGAGCAGGGTGTCACGCCAGCGTGCCCGAGGTTTCCTTTTTCGAAGCCATCGGCCCCTTCAGCTCTCCGCTCGTGGGCGGAGTGCCCCGATGCCCTCCTGACCGATTCTTTTTTAGAAGCCATCGGCCCCTTCAGCCTTCCTCTCGCGGGCGGAGTGCCCCGATCCTCCCTCCTCTCCTTCCTGCCTCCTCGTTCGTCCTTCCTCCCTCCTGCCTCGTCCCTCCTTCTGCGCCCCTTCTTCCTCCCTCCTCCCTCCTCTGCCTCCTCCCCGCCTTCGTCGCCCGCCCTCTCGTCCCTCCTGACCGATTTCCCGTCCGTCGTCCCTTGTCCCTCGTCCCTCGGGTGTCTGTCCTCGTCCCTCGTCCCCGTCGCTCATCCACCCTTCTCTCTCTCCTGCGTCTTCCGCCGTCGGCTCCTCCTCCTTCTCTTTTCTCTCTTCTCCCCTCCTTGCGTTGCTCCTTCCCTGGCCTTCCTTCTCCTCTTCCCTTCTCTCCTTCGTCTTCCTCCTCCCCGGTCGCTCTTCCCTCGGCCCTCCTCCGTCCTGAATTCTACGCCATCGTCGTTATTTTAGTGTTCTTCCTGCCCTTCATCCTTTCTACGCCTTCCTCCACGTCTGCCTTTCCTCTACGCCTTCGTCGGTTTTTATCTTCCTCCTGCCTTTCCTCTACGCCTTCGTCGTTATTTCTTTCCTCTCATCCTCTGCACTTTTCTCCCAAACCGACTCTTAGAGGCGAGCTGTCGATTCGTGGAGGCGGGCCACCGATCCCGAGAGGCGAGCTAGCGACTCTTAGAGCAGAGCTGCCGATTCCGAGAGGCGAGCTGGTGGCGGCGTGTTTGCGGTGGAACATAAACATGATGTATGCTCTTCCCGCCTATCTCGTCGCTCGTCCCTCCTTTCCTATCCTTCCTCTTTCTTACCCCTGCTCTTTCTCTCTCCCTCTGCTCTCTCCCTCGTCGCTTGTCTCCCTTCCCTTTTCCTGCCTTCATTCCCTGCCCTCCCTTCGCTTTCTTTCTTATTTACCCTCCTCCTCCCCCTTATCTCTCCTCTACCTCCTCCCTCTCCTCCCCCTTGCATCTTCCCTCGTTTAGCTTCTCCCTCCTCTTTCACCTCTCATTCCCAGTCCCTGCTCCTTCGTCCTTCGTCTCTCAGTCCTACCGTCCCTCGGTCCATTCACTCCCCCTCCCTCTTTGCTCCGCCCTCTGCCCTCCGTCCTTCTTCTGTCGTTCCTCGTCCCTCGTCCCTCCCCTCGTCTCTCGCCCCTCCACCCAGATTTTAGTCCACCCTCCCGCCCATCTTGCTTAGGTCCTGTTGCGAGCACACGCTTTGAGGGCAGTGAGCGTATCGTTGTCAGTCATTTGTTCCGCTTTCACGATCCAACGCCAGTACGCGAATGCGGCCATCAGCTGAAACAATTCGCCGGGTCGGCCATCAGCGTGTCCAAGCAGCTTGAGTCGAGGTAGGCCCCTCCTTATCCATCCGCTGGGGAAGAATACCCGGGGAATGATTCCTACCTCCCTTCTTCCCCTCCCTCTCCCCCCTCATTCTCCTCGCGCTCTTCCGTGCGGCATGCTTGCGTGGGCCGCGGAGGAGTAGGAGATGAGGACCAGGATGACGAGGAGGAGCTGGACGAGGATGATAATGAGGAGGCGTGAGGTGGTGATGAGGAGAAGGAAGACGAATAGGGTTCAGACGTGGAGAGGGGGAGGAGGACCAGGATACTGAGGGGCAGGTGAAGGATGATGATGATGATGATGATGATGATGATGATGATGATGATGATGATGATGATGATGATGATGATGATGATGATGATGATGATGATGATGATGATGATGATGATGATGATGATGATGATGATGATGCTGATGATGATGATGATGATGATGATGAGGAAGTTGATAAGGAAGAGGACCAGATCCTCAGGCATTTCAGGGAGATGAGGAGGGGAGGAGGAGTAGCGCAAGGATGAACACAATAAACACAGGCAGTAAGAGGGCGCTGGGGAGCGTGTGAGCGATCCGTAAGAAGCCAGGCCCCATAGAGGGATGTTCGGTGAGAGGCGGGCATGAAGTCCACAGTCTTGCCCCTTCTTGTTCCCCTCCTCCCTAGCAGTAGGTCAGCACGAAGAAAAGGGACCACGAGGAACAGGTCCGACGTTTTTCTGCGTTGGCCCTTCTTTGGCCCCGGGGCCGTCAACAACCGATTTAGAATGAGGAGCAGGCATAAGGAGCAGTGGGGAGGCGATGAAGCATAGGGAGACGGGAAGGAAGAGGAGGGGCCAAATGAGGGGCAGGGAGGGAGGAGGATGAGCGGGAGAGATAGTGGTAAGGACGTCGGAGAGGAGGAGGGGTGGGGCAGGTGATCGAGAGACTTTCGAGCTGTTCCGACGAGGAGCTGCTGGTGGAGCTGCGGTCGCTGAGACGACAGCACTGGGAGAGCGCGGGGGCGACACGCTAAGCGTGGGGTACTTCGTCGCCCTCCTCCTCCTTCTCCTTCCACCTCCACCTCCACCTCCTCCTTCCGCCTCCTCCTCCTCCTCCTCCTCCTCTTCCTCCTCCCTCTCCGTCGCTCTACTCCCCTCCCTCAATTGCGCTCCGTCGCGACTCACTCTCGATGTGGCGCCTACTCTCGGGGGGAGGCTCGTGTACAGTGCCTGGTGATCCCTGCTTGACTTCGCGCGATGTCGATGTCTCCTCAGAGCGTGAGGTCCACCATGGACGGTGTTGTCAACTTTTGCTGCACAGTTCGGCTGCATTCATCTGATCGGTCACTTCAGGTCTTGTAGATCGCTTTGCTCGTTTCTTTGCATGCCTTGTGCTATTGTTGCGTCATTCGCCAACTCCGATGAGAAGCAGCTAGAGTATATTCGTGTGTGGTCGCCTGGCTACCACCATACTCCTGTTGCTGCCGCCTGCTTGTTTTGCTTACCGCTGTGCTTGCCCGTACGATCGACATAGGTTGGGGTGCTAGTAGTAGCGCATGTCTTGTCAACAGCACCGGGGTTGCGTTGGCAGAATGATGGGATGTGCTGGCTTGTTGAAGTCCAATGCTTAATCAAGATGTTTCCTTCGCAGTGCACTTTGTGTTATCTGTTTGCGGACGTGCAGGAACGGTGTCCGGCGGCGAGATGGCACCCTGTTCTAAATCGATTTGATGCCCTGCTTGCTGCGTACGCGGCGGGGCTGGAAGTGTGCATTTGGAGATGAGCGGGTTGCCATGATGTGAGTGCTTCATGCGCCAGCCATCAGACTTATGCTTCCATGTTCGGCTCTCACTTGGCGAACAACAGCCTGTCAACTTGTACTTGTAAGGGAGAATCGGCGCGTTCAGACGTGGAGAGACACGGCGAGAGAGTGACGCGAGCGGGTGCGGTTTTCTCTCTGTCTGTCTCTCTCTCTCTTTCTGCCTGTGTGTGCGTCTCTTTCTCTCTCTCATTCTGTGTCTCTCTCTACACATGTCTGTATGTTATGTATAGATGTTTTTTTTCTCTCATTATCTTCCTTTCAATTTTTACCCCCCTCTCTCTATCTCGTTTCTCTCGGTCTCCCCCCATCTTTCCGACTCCCTCTCTCCAAGCAGGGCTACAGGCACGATAGTGTCCAACGTGTGCCGGTTTTCGAATTTGGGAGGGTTTCGTTTGTGTTGTTTTTGGTTGTCTGTTTTGTTACGTTTGGTTTTGCGCGAAGCGGAAGTAGTTATCGGTGCTTATTTTCGGCTGCGCATGGCGCTCTTGTGATTTACAAGGCTGCCGGTCGTTTATTGCTGTCGTGCTGGGTGGCTCGGTTTGCGGTGACCTTTTCTCGTCTGCGCAGCCGTGTTTTTTTGGTTGTTTTTATCTGTTTGTTCGTTTGCCTGGTGTGTGTGTGTGTGTGGGTGTGTGTGTATGTTGTTTTGTAGTCTAATCGGGGCCACATTTGCCACCTGATGCAGCGTCCATCTTCATTTCGCGCGTGCGCTCAACAGGTGCAAACATTCAATGCTTTCAGGGATTTTCGTTGTCTAGCGCACAAGCCACTCGCGCCGCCTAAGCGTCATGTATGCAGTCTGCCGAGCAGTTTCGTTCCACGCGGACCTTCCAGGATGGCTCGTGCGCGATTTTTTTTAAGAAGACCAAGACCTCCTTGTCTACGCGATCAAACTATTAGTTTTATGGCGTCGCTATTTTCATACAGGTGGCAACCATTTGCAGACCGTCATGTTCTCTTGCGTTGATGGCCGTTTTGTACTTGATTGCGCGTGAACTTGGGCACGCCTGGTCAACGGTCGAATGCACTACGCTTTTGGCGAGTCTTTGGCTGCCTTGCTGCACATATCATATGTTCGTGCATTTTTCGGCTTACTTGGAAGGCCACATTCGTTACTAGGAACCGAAGGTGAACGCATGGGGAGATCGATGAGGCTGGGGCCATGTTTCATCGCTATGTCACACAGGGCAAGAGCAACCGCAACCACGCGGCCAGACGCCAGCAGTGGTACGTCACTGTGGCGGGTCCGCGTCCTTTATATGTTCTTCTGGCACCACCCTGCCAAAACTGATGAAACAGATACTGTATGTCAGCGCGTGGGCAACGAATAGTGAGCTTGTGGAATTTTCGGCGTTCTGCGGCAATGTACCCCGTGCCGGCGCAGCACTCCGATCGGCGACGCTTCGAACACCGCCCAGAAGGCCGTAACATGTGGTACCTCGGCTCCACATCGTCACTGGGCTCTCAAGGGTGGGCGAGGCCGCCAGGGCCAAGCAGGAGGAGGAGGAGGAGGAGGAGGAGGAGGAGGAGGAGGAGAGGAGGAGGAGGAGGAGGAGGAGAGGAGGAGGAGGAGGAGGAGGAGGAGGAGGAGGAGGAGGAGGAGGAGGAGGAGGAGGATTAGCGTAAACCTCAGATGCATGATAGATATTGTAGTGGCCTCCGGCCAGTACCGCCGATCCGGAGCGCTCTGGGGGGGGGGCCGAGCGGCGGGCTAGTCCTCGCGCGCTTGTTGCGATTCAGTCTGTGTAGCACGTGTCGCCTGCGTCGTCCGCGCCCCCTGCGGGGGGCGAGGGCGCGGTCCGAGCGCGGCCACGCCTCCGTCTCGCTTCGCCGACGCCACGGAGGACGTAAAGGGCGGGGCCAGCAATGCGAAGACCGCCCTTCTGCTTGCCTTGAGAGGCGGCGGGGGGCAGACAGGCAGACAAGCCACTTCCTGCGCTGCGCCAGTCCCGCGCCCTGGGGTTTGGTCGTGTGCGGCGGCAGCGCCAGGATGCGGCGAGCCAGCCCCCGCCGCCAGTGGCACCCCTTTCCAGCGCATCGCCAACCGCAGTGGATGAACCAGTGCGCAAAACCCCCAAGGCCTGGCGAACAGCGCAGCCCAGACGCACCTCAGAGTGGGCGCGGCCGAGGCTCAGCGGAGACCCCCCCCCCTTGGAGACGGCAGGCGGCACTGCGCCACGCGCCCCCTGCCTCGTTGTCCGCTCCCACTCGGACGGGGGTGGTGGAGTCTACAGTAGACCATGGCAGTCGTTGGCCTGGGCCTCTACCCTGCAACCACTGAGGCAACGCGAGGGAGGACTGGAGAGCGGCGGTCATCGCCTCAAGAAAGAATGCGGCCCCATGTTCACCGTTGGGTGGGGCGCCGTTTGCGATTGCGAGTCTGGGCCCGGCTCCGACAAGGACCGGCAGCGTTGCGACCCTGAATTCGGTGAAGGCTGCGTTATTGACTTCAGCGAGGCCAACTCCGATGTGCGCAGGCTCTGCTGGGAGAAGGGCAGGCACGTCGGCTGGGACCCTGAGTGGTGTCGCAGAAACTGGATAGGGGGAGGCAATCTTGTGATCTCGCAGTGGGCAGAGGGAAGGGTGCTTCTTCGCACGGGAAGGGGGGGTGGCCAGCGGACTCCTCGTGGCCTAGCAACGACCCTTCTCGCCAGCGCTGGCCCGCTTCCAGCGGCCGCCGCTGGTGGCCGCCAGCGGTATCACGGCCTCGTCCTGTGCTGGGCGTGGCAAGCCCGCCCTGGTAGTTGCCCCTTTTGCCGCCGCCCTCCCCTTTTTGTCTTCGTGCCTCCTCGCGTCGCGCGCCTACCCCGCGCTCGCCGAGCGCGGGCGCGGCCGCGGAGACGCTGCCTGCCCGGCCGCGCCCCCCGCGCCCTGGGTCCTCCGCGGGAGCGCGCCCGCCGTCGCCTCGTCCCGCGCAAATGAGTCCGCCTCCTGTGCCGAGCGGGTGAGGGTCCAGGCGCGATCCCACGGGCGCCTCGTATTATCAGCACTGTGTGTCTGGGCAGACGCCGTGGATTTGTCCAGACCCTCTGCCCCCCCCTCCCCCGCAGCAGGCCAGGCAGCGGCTGGGGGCCCTTCTCAGCGGCATCCTCCTCAGCAGCAACTGGAGCTTCAAGCTATCAAGCAGAGTTGCAGGTGCTGCTGGCGACTCCAGTCCCGCAGGGCGAATTCGCACGCCCTGCTGGCGGCAAACTGTGAACCCGCCGGGGGATAAACGAAGTTTCGCGTGGCGTCCCGCCGGTGGTTGCTCATAAGCTCGCTCGCACATCTGCCTTTGCCAGCGCTGGCCCTCTTGGGGGGGGGGGCGCGTCGCCGCAATCAGCCGTGTTGGAGCCTGTGCGCCACGCTCTTGTGATGCCACAGGTTTCGTGCCGCCGTGCACGGGAGCTCTCCTTGCCGGCTTGTGCCTGCTGCTGCGCTTGCGCCCCGGGAGGGGTCGACGGTTGCTGTTCTGTCGGCGCCGTGGGCCCCTCCTGCGCTGGGCCTCGACGCTCCAGCGGACGCAGCGCTGGTGCAGGCGAGGTGCGTGGGCAAGTGTACCGCGGTTGAGGAGCGCGACGAGGCGATCGGCGCGTGGCGCCAGCGCCTGCGCGACGCGGTCGGTGACAACGTTGACGGTGGAGTGTCCAGGCGGTCCTCTTTCATGGTGCGGTGCACCAGCCAGTCTGACCTCTATGGTTTGTTTCCTGCGAGGGGGTCCACGTGCTCGCAGATTGCCCTCGCGCGTGCTTCGACGTAGCAGCGCCCTTTGCAGTTGCATCGGGGAGCTTCGATCAACGGGGCTTGGAGATCACGTGGAAGGGGTCTCCCATGGTAGAGCTGGTGGTGCATTTAGTAAACGAGCGCCAGGGCAAGATCGTGGTCAGGGGCAAATGGGACGCATTTGAAACGTGCTTGGATCAGCTTTTAATGCTTTTCGGGCACGTGGCGAACAGCGAGTCCGCTGCGGCCCCAGTGCGGGCTCCTGCCCCGGGCGCCCAAGACAGGCCTGCCCAGTGGTCTGAGAGCGACTTACTCGGCAGGCGTTGAGAGTCGCGGCAATCGCTAAACCGCGCTCAGTCGTTTCGGCTGCTTCCCCGCTTGTCCCTCCTGCGCCCTCGCCCCTCTTCTCCCGCCTGGGTGGGTGTTTGGCACGGGCCGCGCTGCAGCTTTCTCGGCGCCGGCGGCGTCGGCAGTGGGATGGGGCGGGGGCCGTGGGGCGGCCGTCGCCATGCGTCCGGGTAGTGCGTGTGTATGTCGGTTGTCAGCGGCGTCTCCCTGAGAGGCGGCAGGGGGTGCGCGATGCGCTTGGAAAATGAAGCGCGTTTGATTGCCATCTGCCCACGTGTGTTGTCATCCGCTTGTCGTGGCGCAGGATCTGGAGAGGGGAGTTTCAGAGTGTGGGTGGCGTCCCGAGCTCGCTTGCTCCTGCGATTGTCCCGGTGGGTCCCATCCATTCCCTTTCCCTTCCTTCCCTTCGCTCCTGCTTCGGCTTCCCTGCCCCCTCTCCGGCTAGAAGTCCAGGGCGGATTTTCCTTTAGACCTGGAGGGGGGCCGGAGGCCCCGCCCCCCCGGTGCTCTTAGAGGAAATTCCTTGTGCGGGTCATGCGTGGCTATCAGAAGCGGAGGCCGGCGAATCCTGCCACCAGGGCTAATCCTGCCACCAGGGCCATGCGTGGCTAATCCCGCCACCCGCACCCCCAACCTCCGTCATGCTCCTCCCTGCCGTGGCGGGTGGGCCTTGGGGGCTGGCAGGGCCGCCGCCCTCGTTGCCGGCGCCCCGGGGAGGTCCTGCCGGAGCGTTTTTTGTCTGACCGCCTGTTTGTTACTGCGTTTGATGCCGCCCCTCCTCTGGTGTGGAGCACGCGACCGCCATCCCTGCAGCAGGGCCACGTGGCGCTCGCACGTGCCCGTCCGACATCGGCGGCTCCGCTTTCTCTCCATGTCTGTCGTTCTCTGCTTTCTCGTTGGCGCCGCGGCGATGACCTCTCCCGCCGCTTGTTGCCATCGAGCTCGCGCGCGCGCGGGCGGTCCAGGCCGATCGGTCCCCCCGCGTGGAGCGCCTTCCCCGCGAACCCCGCCTGCGCCGAAGGGGGTCGGGCCGGCGGGGAGTCGGCGACCCGATGGGGGCGGGCCCGCGGGCTGCTCGGCGGGAACAGGTCGATCAGGTTCTGGCGCCGCCGCGAGACAAAGCTACCCGTTGGGCGGCAGGGGGGGGGGCCGGCGACGTGAACGGACTGCCGCGCTTCAAGACGCAGTGGCCTTACTAGAACTAGCACCGCAACGCCCGCTTGAAGTCGCTCGGCAAGCGGGCCCTGAGACGTCCCTGTTGTTGGCGATCGCCGAGGGGCTCGAGCAATTGCTCCGCGCTGAGGCCCTCGCAACGCTGAGCGCGAATCCGGTGACTGGCTCGGCGGTCGCCTTCCCGTGCGTTATTTGGCGGCTTGCGCCCGTTACATTGCGGTGCAGGTGAGGATGCGCGTCGGCCGAGCCCATCCGCGAAATCCCGTCTTCGCGTGCCGATTCTCAGTCCGGGCCGCGCGGGCTTCCTGCAATTGTTCTTGGATTTGTCGTTCGAGTGTCGGCTTGAGGCTGTCGCGCACGCGCTGGTCGAGAGAGGGGTTGACGCGTGCATTTTTCCCGTCGCGCGTTCCCCAGCGGGCGCTTCTTTGCCGCCCCGCTTGTCCCTTTTACGGGAGGGTCCCGCTCGTCTGGTTGGGGCTCCGTCGGCCAGTTTCCGCGCCCCGAACTGGAGCGCATCCCAGAATCTCGAGCATTCGCGAATAGTGGTTTGAGCTCTGGGGGGCGGGCGCCCGCGTGCGTCTTTTGCGGGGCCGTTTCCCTGCCGCTCGCTTGCTTCTTCTAGGCCGCGACGCGAACCTCCACTTGTCGTGCCGCGTTTCCCATGCCGCGTGGCGCCGCTGCCCCCATTGTTGACGGATGGCCCTGGGTCGTGAGATCCAGGCGTGGCTCGATGGCACAGGGCTCTGCGCAGGCGACCCCCTCTCCCAGCGCGCGTGTCTGGCGCGACGATCGATTTGTTCTGGGGGCCCGGCGAAGCTTACCTCCCCGTGTCTGTCGTTGATGAGTTCGTTGGCCCATCGGGCCACAGGTTTGTCCAGGTGGATTTTCCTTTCTCTCTGGCCCTCTCGAGGTCTACGGGTTTTCGGCGGGTCTCCTGGACGTCCGGGGACGAGTGGGCGACCGCGCTCGAAGGCATCCTCGATTTGCTGAGCGTGCTGGCGGACGCTGTGGAGCACGCCGCCAGTGGCGCGCGGTTTCTTAGGCCGCCCTAGTTTGGGGCTGATGCCACCGATGCCACCCTAATGTCGCGGCTTGGGCGGGGGGCGCCGTCTGACGTCTCAGTCGGCCGCGCTGCCGGCGCCGCGCGGGTGGCCCGCGCGGGTGTTTGCGGGGGGCGCGCGCCTTGGCGCCCTCATTTAAGGCCTGCGTCTTTCCCGTCGCGCGAGGCGTGCAAGACCGCCGTTGAGTCTGCTGCGTGGCAGGGGCGGCGCGTGGCGGTCCATTGATATTTTCCCGTAGAGACGCGAGCGCGGGCGCGGCAGAGCGCTGCCTCGCGGGTGTTTCTGAATCTCCCGCCCGCTTGGACATGCAGATCGTGGGCGAG